CAGAGGACACATGGAGAGAAGGCCAAGTTTGAGGACTTTTGGACAGAACTTTGAAAACGCCCAGAAATTTTACCACAATTAAAGATTTGTTTAGATCAGCAGTTCTCAAAGCGTGGCCTGGAATCCCTGGGGGTACCTAAGACCCTTTCAGGGAGTCCACAAAGTTACAATTTTTTTCATAGTAATACTAAGAGGTTATTCGGCTTTTCCACTCTTATTCCCTCACGAGTGTACAGTTGACTTTTCTAGAGGCTATATGACATGTAACAACACAACAGACTGAATGCAGAAGCAGACATGAGAATTCAGCTGTCTTCTATGAAGCCGGACCTTAGAAAGATTTGCAAAATGTAAAACAAGGCCACTCTTCTCAATGAATTTTTTTTGTCTTAAAAATACACTTTTTAAAATACAAAATGTATTGTTGCTAACATATAATGGCTTTGTTTTTGTTATTCTTAAATAAATAAATACATATTTTTAAAATGTCACAGTTTCAATTTCTAATACAGTAAATGTCAATAGGTATCAACCACATTAAAAAAAAAACAGCTATTTGGAGTCTTCAATTATTTTGTAAAGGGGCCCTGAGACCAAAAATCTGAGAAAAGCTGATTTAGGTTAACAAGCAAACACCAAAGAGGGTCAAGAAGTAGAACATTATTGCATCCACACTGGGGAATGGATTGGTATAACTGGCTTGCTTTCCTACTATCTGGCTGAGAGAAAGAAAAGTATGGAGAGCAGAAGACCAAAACAAGAGGTAGGTTTAAAGAACGGAGAGAGCAGGCTTGGGTACGAGAGGTGGGGAGAGGTTTCAAGCCTAGAGGGTTAAGACGTCTGGGGTCCTAAGACAGGGGAATCCAAAGATGGGAGAAGGGTACAGAAAAGGTGATTGAAGGAAAAAGTGGAATAGAAAGGGGGTGAAGAAAGGTGTCAGAAAAAGTGCAGATCATGTCTTGCAAGATATTTGAGAAAGGAAGTTGGTAAGGAAGAGAAGAAAGAGTGGGGAAGGAAGAAGGGATGAGGGAAGGATGGAGCATAGTGTCCCGGTATTGTACTCAGCTTTGTGGAATTCAAAGATCCATGGAGACAACGGGTGTAGCTTACCTCATGAGGAACATAATCAGGAGGCAGTTTGCTCAGCATATCTTCAGATAATCTATAAACAATGGCTTCCCGAGTCTCTCCCATTCCACCTCCACTCTCTTTGGGTTGAATGTTGGTAATTGTTTCAAGAACATCAGAAGCAGTGTTACTCTGATACCTGATAAAAAGAGTGAAATGTTCAGAAAGCAGTAGGCAAAAGTACCCTCGGAGAGAATTACCAAAGCTAAAATTAACTGACAGACTTGCTTAAATCAAAGCCAGTCCCCACCCCCACAAAAATGGGAAACTTTACCGTCAACTTACAAGAATGAAAAAGCCAGAGATCCATTCTACTGCCTCTTAACACACGTCAAAGACCATCACAGAAATGAAAAGCTCTCCATCTTATGGGAAACAGGCCCCACAAACATCCTTGGTAATACAAATCTGTGCTTTAAAGTCTGATTGTGAAGTCCTTCCTTATAGCTGACCTAAACCCCTCATGCTGCACATCTTTTATTCTCCCTCTCTTATGGTCTAATCATAATAGTCTACCATTATATGATGATCTGTTAGATCAAAGAAGACGACTCATTTTTCTTCACCAAAATATAAATTATTAAAATTTGCTTGGTCTTTTCTGTTTTATTTTCTCATTTTTCCACTTGCTTTACGATTTCCAAGGTGATCTACTGACATCCATCTGCTCTACCTAGCCCGTTTTTTAAATCCATGTATTCAATAAAGATTTAACAAATGTCCCCTATGTCTACTATGCACCAGGCACTGAGCTAGGTGTTGGGATATGGTGGTGAATAGGACATAGTTGCAGGGTCCTAGAGTGAGTAAGTGCTATGGAGGAAAAGAACACGACACTTTAAGAGAATATAGTTTCTCTCTCTGTAGCTCTCACTCTCATTCCCGTGCTTGCTCTCTCGAGTAGACCAGATGTTCTGACATACATAGACTTTGCCTCTGTCCCTGAAATGCTGGGTAGACTAGCTTTTCTGTGTGTGTATATGTGTCAGAGGCAATTTACACTAGAAGATCAGGGAAAATCTCTCTTAAAAAGTCATATGTAAACAGAGACCTGAAGGATGAGCAGGTTGGCCAGGCCAAATTGGGGTGAGTGGGAGGCCAAGAAAGGACATTCAGATAAGAGGTAAGGGCTGGGGGTGAGAAAGATGTCAGTGCATTTAAGAAACAGACAAGGCCAGTAAGGTTGGAGCAGTGAGCTAGAAGAAGAGATGAGGATGGAGATAAAGGCAGGGGCCAGACTAGGCAGGGTCATGTGGGCCACTTTAAGGGTTCTGAGCATTATCGTAAGGGCAATCAGAAGCCACTGAAGACTTCCCAAGAAGGGGTGCTGACATGATCAAATTTAAATTTTTCTTTTCTGAACTCCTAATTTACCTCCTAGAAATATCACATAATTTGGTTTTTTTTTTTTTTTTTTGGTATTGTTTGCTTTGTAAATTTTGTCTCTCATCCAGATGTCAACCACATTCACACTTCCTTTCACAGGTGTTAGAGGGAAATCTAAAAAGAATATACAAATTCTTGAGATTAGTGATTTGTTTTTCCATTATATCTCCTTGAACATAACCTAAGTCTTTGTAATTTGGAATATATATCAAAATTTTAGATGTGCATACCTTTAATTTAGCAATTCTATATCTAAGACTTCACCCTAAAGGAATAATCAGACATTTCCATTTTTGAGAGCATGGTGGAATTGTTACCCTGAACAACCCTCCTGAAAACAACTAAAAATGCTGATTAAGATATGGAAAACATCTTTTTAAATACATTACTGAACTGGCAAGAAACTAAGGAATCATTGGAGTCAAACAAAATATAGAGTGAAAGTTGTAATCCAGAAAGACAAGCCAAATTTTACCCTAGCGGTGTTAACTCAGCCCTGATGTCCTTGAATTTCTGCTTGGATAGAGCATGGGACACAATGACACAGGAAGTAATCCATCCTACCCAAGGTGGAAAGTCTAAAAGGAAATTCCTACATAAAGCTGTGACCCTAGTCGGGTTGCAACCTCAGTGTAAGGGTAAACTAGAACCAACCCACCTGTCAGAAGGGGATGGCAGGTAAACTGTCTATCTAGTTTGGAACTGGGTAGGAAAAAGAATCTATCCTGAGAATTCTTAGTTTACCAGGTTTGTGACATTAATTAACATTAATTCATATTACCTGTGTTATCTGAAACCTCACTCCTCACACCAAGCCAAGAATTTATTTTAAGATGTTCCCAGGAAGTTCCAGGTGACATTTGGTAGCACAAACACAAATCTTCCCTGGAATACTATACCTTCAACCCAGGTCTCAAATAATTCCAACAGTTAATTTCAAATAGACACAAGCTACCAGTCAAAAGTTACAAAAATCATAAAGAAACAAGGCACCATGAGCAACAGCCAGCAGAAACAACAGAAAGCAGAACCAGATCTGCAGAGATATTAGGTAATTTTCCAATACACATTATGAAACATGTTGTCATTATATTAAAGAGTAAAAAAAGATGATTAAAATGAATAAGAAAGAAGAGATTATAAACGTTAATATCATATTTGAAAAAGAACCAAATAGAATTTCTAAAAATGAAAAATAAATGAAATTTTCAAACTTTATTAGTTTTCTATTGCTGCAGTAACAAATTAGCACAAACTCAGGGCTTAAAACAAAATTATTATCTTACAGTTTATTTTTTTAATTTTTTTAAATTGTGCTTTAGATGAAGGGTTACAGAGCAAATTAGTTTCTCATTAAACAATTATTAGTTTCTCATTAAACAATTTATACACACATTGTTTTGTGACATTGGTTTCGAACCCCACAACATGTCAACACTCTCCCCTTCTCGACCTCAGGTTTCCCATTTCCATTTGTCCAGCTTTCCTGTCCCCTGCTGCCTTCTTGTCCTTCCCCCTGGGCTGGTGTGCCCACTTAGTCTTGTATACATAGTTGAGCTACGTGTATTATTGTTTGTCTTATGGGCCTGTCTAATCTTTGGCTGAAGGATGAATCTCAGGAGTGACTTCATTACTGAGTTAAAAGGGTGTCCGGGCGCCATACTCTTGGGGTTTCTCCAATCTCTGTCAGACCAGTAAGTCTGGTCTTTTTCTGTGAGTTACAATTTTGTTCTACATTTTTTTCCAGCTCTGTCTGGAACTCTCTCTTGTGGTCCCTGTCAGAGCAGTCGGTGGTGTAGTCGGGCACCATCTAGTTGTGCTAGACTCATTCTGGTAGAGGCTGTGGTAGTTATGGTCCATTAGTCCTTTGGACTAATCTTTCCCTTGTGTCTTTGGTTTTCTTCATTCTTCCTTGCTCCAGATGGGGTGGGACCAGTGGATTATCTTAGATAGCTGCTCACAACCTTTTAAGACCCCAGATGCTGCTACTCACCAAAGGAGGATGTAAAAAATTTTCTTTATAAACTATGTTATTCCAATTAAGCTGAATGTCCCCTGAAATCATGGTCCCCAGCCCAGCAATTCAGTCCCTCATGGAGTTTGGATGTATCTATGACGCTTTTATGACTTTGCCTTGGTCAAGCTGTGCTGACTTCCCCAGTATTGTGTACCTGTTATCGTACAGCTTTTTAGATCAAAAGTCCAACACAGGTCTCACCAGGCTAAAATCAAGGAGTTAGCAGGACTGGGCTCCTTTCTGTAGGCTCTACAGGAGGATCCATTTCTTTGCTCATTTAGGATATTGGTAGCATTCAATTCCCTCACTTGCTAGCCTCCACAACTGCATGAGCCATTTCTTTGAAATAAGTCTCTCTCTCTCTGTATATATATATATATATATATATATATATATGTTTCACTGGTTTTGCTCCCCTAGAGAACCCAGCCTAAGACAGAGATGAATCACAGTGATAAATGTTTTAGGTTCACTGAAGCGTACCTTACAAATCCCTACTGTCTACGCCCTGCTAGAAAGGTCCTCTTCTGACTTTTCTTTACAGCATATGGAAAAAGAGAATTACACCCTCCTCTCTCTCCCTCCCTAGGTGTGAATTAAATGAATTTATGTGGAAACTGCCCCACTAACTGGAAGAATCCTAAAGAGCTCTTGTTAAGTTATCCAGGCTTATTTGCTTAAGAACAAGTCACATTTTTGTGGGAACAGAGAGAATCCTGTTCAACTGGCCTTTGAGTTCATTTAGGAATCCAGCTGAAGAATGGAGGAGATGCTTCTGTCTTCAGCATTTTTATTTGATGAGTATCTGGAACTCAGCATCTGCACCCAAGCATGCATATCCAAGCCATTGCACCTTTCCTGAAGTGGCTGAGGTACATGAATCAGCCACTGTGCTTCACAGGCTGGACTTACATTCAGATACGGTGATCATGACAGTCCTGGTGTTAGACAATGATTATAACCTCTGCCAGATTTGGGGTAATAATTCCACATGACCTTCAAACAAATTTCACTATAAGGCGCAGTAGGGTAAAAGCTGATTTTTAATAAATGAAATTTGACTTTATATAATTTTTAAAATTATTCTATGAGTAACCTCTGTTCAGATGTTGAGGCTTTAGAATATCCCAAAAAGATACTTGTTTAAAAAGGTTGAAAGATGAGTATATCAAACATATAGACAACTGAACATATGAAAAGAAAACAAAACATTCTAGTAAAATGACACAGAAGGAATCTGAAACCTGTTTCTAAATTTTGAAGTATGGCACTGTCCCAGTTTTTAAAAGTCAGATAAAATCTAAGAAAAACACAGATTACTCTAAGTGGAAAAATCCTATGAAAATAGCTGATAGGACAACAAAACGAAGTTATCAAAAGTCAAGGATCCACATGTTATTATATACATTTTTCACAAATATAAATTTGTACATGATTCATATTACTCCATGGTCTCATTCTAGCATTAAATACAGTAAAGACGAGTATGTGGCTGAATTGCTGTCACCACCACTGACATCTTACAGACAGCCATGCAATACAAGGCAAGTCTAAAAACACCAGTTGCGGTCCTGGTGACTTCATGTGCATTGGAATAAAACTGTGCTCCATAGGGTTTTCAATGGCTCATTTTTCAGAAGTAGATCACCAGGCCTTTCTTCCAAGGTGTCCCTGGGTGGACTTGAACTGCCAACCTTTCAGTCAGAAGTCGAGCTCTAACCGTTTGCCCCACCAAG